CGCTGGACACAATCGATAGTCAATAGGAGTATGCGACCCCCATTCCTGCTCTCGGGTCTAACGTAAAGCTGGGTCCAATTGAAGCTAATGAGAAGACCAATAGCAATCCCTCATTCCCATGATGGCTGATGGTTGTTAGCACAAGAGGTATATCAAGTGGAGAACCGAAAACGTGGCTCAAAAGCGACGAGAGACTATGCACTATGTTGTCCTGCTCTTGTAGTGTGAACTCGTAAAATATACTTGTTTTAAGTGCACTTTTATAGGGAACAGTCGAGAATCAATTGGGAACTCGAATGCTGTGCGTGTGGCCAATGAAGAATCTTCCTCCTGTTGATATATCCTACTGGGCTCATCTGCATTCCAATCCCCATTCTTCCTGTAGCTAATACCAAATAAGTCATCTACAACCACCACTCTCTTGATGTCCGTGGTTCAAGGGCAGGAGAGCAGGCTGACAGTCCGTATTCTACCCAACGTTATTCTTCGTTTACAATGTGCAGTGCTGTAACGCTACAGTGGGTTTTCTATTATAATATTTTTAAATTTTCAAAACAGCGAACAAAGAGAAGACATGTTTTACTGCGAGAAGTCATCAACTTTAAACTATAAACTTGCGCACTCGCCTCCAACATGGAATACGCATTGAATAGTCACCCATCCGCGCTAACGACAATTAAAACACCGTTGCGTGTATCACGACCATAATCTTATTCCTCTGGGAATGTTGTAATACACGGTTTCACATGTCAAGATTCAGCTATGCAATGATTTAAGAACCTAAATGGCTAATTTGCGCTTTGCCAAACCACTAATTTCAAGGCCTTGGATGCAAATCAAACTTTGCCTATGACCACCCTTTTTAAATCCTTGAATAAATATTTGTTCTGCAGCACATTGCTATTTATAAGTGACCTCAGTAAAGTTTCGGTTTTGTGTTGGTAGGATACAGTAAATTGTCGCATTGGTCTAGCGGCTTGGGTAAATTAACTGGGCTATTAGGTAGTGCATGGGCGTCTCTGGGTGGGTGTTTTTTCCCTTGCCAACATCCCACATCACCTTGTATTTCCTCTCTGAGTGCCATTTTAGTTCAAAGGCTTACTTTTTTATTCATTTGAATTCTTTCCTATCTTGAATGTTTAGTTTTAATAGTTCCTTACTACGATTCGTATCGCGTGGTACTAAAGGGTGGTTCAACTACACCCTATCATAATCATTGGTTCTTTTGTAGATTTGTGCCCCCTTTTGCAATTCAGCTATGGTATTAGGCTTTTTGGCAACTATATGCTTGTTGCCGTTTTTATATGTGATCATTTTGTAGGTCCACATAAGAGCTTGTGAAACAATGACGACGGCTACAAAACAGCCGAAAATCGCTGAACGATTGTCGATTTTAAATAGACGTCAGCTTGGCGTATTGAGCCGCTTGTATTTCATGAAAACCAACCTTGCTGATCCCGATACTCGTTATCAGTTTTTACCTGGTGGTGATAAGTCCTTTGACAGTGCTTGGAAAGTTCTTTTGAAGAAATTCCCAAGTCTTGATTCTCGATCGAATTCCACCCTTAATATCTTTTGTAATCAAAGAGATATTTTTAAGCAAACATCACTCCTTTATTACAACTTCGTGGATGTGTTGGAGGTGCAGGATAATGTTTTGGACCTATTGCAGCGAATCAGTAATGCAGGTATTCGTCTTGAAATTACTCTCAACTCAGATCTAACGCACTTATATCTCGAACTTACCACAAACTACTTTGCGATGATGTACTTTCTTACTCGGATTCCCGATCTCAAGGCTGTTCTGATGCTTTTTAATTTCTTGTTCGAACAAGCTAATGGCAAACCTGAGCCAAATTTTTCGAGAATGGCCGAGCGTTTCACTGAATCTCCAGAAGTACTTCTAAAACATCTCCTGGAGGAATTTAAACCCTATGCCCCTGTTCTCTCATTGGCTTTAGCTTCCTTGAATGACTTTTTTATCCGACGAACAGTACGGGCTCAGAATTGGAGGGATGGTCTTTTCCTTAATATCCTTGCGGAGCCGCACAAGATCACTCATACTGCGTTGAGCGATCAACTTGCCTGCGAACTGCTCTCCTATGAGGTGATGGAGCGCTGGGTCGTATTTGGCTTCTTGCTGGTCGGTCCATCGACTGCTGGTGATGGCGATGACTCTTTTGCTCGGATTCGCCTTGCACTCAGAAATAGCTATGTTGTGGTTCTTTTTCGTGATGAAGTCATTCACGTGCACAGCTTATTGACTACCTTCTTCGAATCCGTTTGGACGGGAAAATCATCCTCAAAACGCCTTTCCGATATTAAAGAGGCTATGTCCATCGCCTACTCGCAGGCCCCAGGAGCCCATTCTGATAGGAGAGCCTATCTGCGTTCATCATTGCGACAACTGCATTCAGTTTTATCAGATCAGCCTGGGCTTCTTGGTCCAAAAGCTTTCATTGTCTTCTGGGGACTGTCCTATGCGGCTGACGAAATTCATTGGCTTCTCCGTCATTTCAGCAACATACAACCCAAAAAAAATGCGAACGTTGAAGAATTTGCCGATTTCGCTCTGCCTGAGTTGTTATACTACATTGAGGACCTTCGGCACCTAGTAAGGCGTTACACTGTTGTAATTCAACGATTTCATATTCAAATGCTTCCGTCATATGATGTCCCTGGACTAGAAGAATATCTTCGTCCATCGATTAATTATCTTCCCATGGAAGAGGTTGACATTTTCAACGGGATGCTGACTCAACTTCGGGAGGTCGAGGACATACTAACTTCGAATTCTCCTCGTCATTGTGAATTTACAAGCCTCCGGCTTGATTGGCTTCGTTTACAAGCCATTCTTTCGGCAAAGGATTCTCCACTCCCATTGGTCAATTGCCGCCGTCTAGCAGAACATCTTCACTCAACAATTTTCCACACCCGTTTAATTGATCAGATCGAAGATTTACTTCGTCAGGTGTCTGATCTCTCCGTGTATTATTTTTATTGGAACAAATTGGAGGAGGTTTTCAATCACAGCCTTGTCTACCCCTCTCAGTTACGCTATTCTGGCGTTTTCCTCAGTTTGCCTTCCAGTTTTGTGAACATTTGTCATGAAATGTGTCCAAAAGAACGCTTCATTATCGGCAGAACTGCAGGAAATTTGACCCGTCGATTTTGTCGAAAGTTGGTTGATGCACTGTGTGCTGCCTTTTTTACTCGACTGGAGGAAGTGTGTACCTTTGCTGAACAACTTGCACCCCAAAAGAGTGTACCTTGGCTTATTGAAGAGAAGCTGACGAAGAAAAAGGCAGCTGATATTAATGGAACTATAAAGAAAAACAAAACAGGATCAGGTTTTGGACAGTCGAATGACGTAATAGTGATGCCGGGTATGGAGAGTTTTCGTCGCGATCGCATTGATCAAACCATGTATGACAAGACTCTCTTCACGCTTTCACAGCTCTGTTCTGCAATCACCTTTCGGAAGGAGTTACATGCCTTTGAAGAAGTGTTCGATCCCAGAACAGTCCTTCAAACAGAACTTCAAATGCGCTTATTCGAATATCTTCGTCCTATCGTGAACACTTGGTAAGCACCTTCTTTTGTCTTTCATTGTTAAATGAAGGAGACGATTATGCCAATTTAGACTCACGATTTGTCCTATTAGAAATTATTGGTCCTTACTACTGCATTACTCAGACTTATGGGTGACCGTTCATTTCCTTATTTTAAAGAAATGATCGGGCTCCACAACTCTCAATCTCCTGACTATTGATCATATTGTACTAACTTCTAAAACTGTTACTCCTGTCCTTCGATCTTATAGTCTTGGGAGTTTCTCCACGAGAACCCGTCCTTGGTATGTAACTTGCATTATTTCGTTTGTTGCGGGTTAAATATAAGATTATTTAGGTGGTTTAGATGTGACTTTATTGGCATGTTTTGTACTATAGCTTGTCAATCCATCTGGTCTTAGTTTTGCAAACTTTGATGTCGTTCAGGCAGACTGTGATTGTTGCTGCCACCTCAGCGTTGTCGATGAGTCATCATGCCAAGGTTATTTCCAATTTGATGGCTTTTGCGCGCTGTAGCTGTTTGTTTTACACTTGCGTACAGTACGAAAAAAGGTGATTATTTCTTTCCAAACTGGTTTGATCTACTTGAACTCCTTTATTTACCTTAGTTCATTCACCGAGTTCCATTGGGTTTGATGCTTTTTCAGTAATTACCCTGCCTACGATCTCGTTTTTTCTCGTTGGATCGAACAGTTGCGAAAGGTCAGTGCTGGATCTAGGTGAAAATAAAGTAATTTGTCTCAGCCAGTGGGATCCCAGGACATTATATTAATGTGGCTAAAAAACACTTGTGTCTATTTTCCAAACTCTCATAATGGGCAATGAATGGATTAATTGTGTGCGAAGCATTGACAGTCTACATCAGGCTTACAACCTAATCTCACTGTTAGTCTTGTTACCTGTAAAATTTCGCCTTCTGTTCAGTGATTTTATTGGTCCATGACCGCCTACTTGACTATTTGCAAGTTCGATTCGTGTTGCAAACGCTGTGCTGTCACTTTGTCAACAATCGTACTCTCATGCTTTACTACTCCTTTATGGAATTTAAACTTTCAGCATCTGAATGATGTTCTATTCTAGTTATCTCGAACGCATTGAGCCTTCTTTTTTTTCCCCTCGGTAACTTGTTGGCGGTAGCCAATGCATTCTTAAAATTCATGTGCCTGCAGTAATCTAGTTTCCTCTCCACTTTGGGTGCATGAATCACCCAACTATGCTGATATGTAGATGTGATTAATCACAAAACGAAATTCTCCTTGTTGGGTTTTATCTGTCCACTCCCATCGAACCATAGGGAAAATTCAAGCAGCTTGCCGCTTAAATAGACATACTTGTCGATTGCCATGGATTTTCATCCAATCTCACTATAGTTTAACGGTGTTTTGATCAAATTTGCTGCAACACAGGACTCTTGTTCAACCGATTTGTTTGGCTCTGAATACTAGTCTCCATCTTTCATTAACTTCACCTCCAACTGTCAACACTTCGTTTTGCAAATAGCTTTAACGCTTCCTCCACACATTTATAACTCCGTTGTGGCATTGTTGCAAGAGCAGTATTGTCACGCAACGCCTCTCACCGTTCCCCTCTCCCTCCTGCGTCACCTCCTCCCGACGCTAGTAGGTTTACTCTATGTAATTGACTTCGTACGGACTTAGTATTTAAAACTATATCAGGTTAGACTGGTGACAAACTAACGATTATTTGCATCTGCTTATTATTATCTCTGGTAATGCGTCCCTGGGTCAGCAATTTTTTTTCAGTAATGAGGATCAAAATGAAACAACGACACAATCATATGCATTATGAAACACCAATGGTGGTCTTTCAGTCAATAATTTAGCTTACCTTTACATGGCCCTTCTGTCGCCTCATTTTAGACAGATGTTCGTTTTCTTTTTGCTTTTCGTTTTGTTTCATTCATGCTTGCATTACTTTATATCGTCAGAGCATTGTATCCTAGACTACTACTTTTTGTAACCTAGTGCATATACTTTTTTACCTTTAGGTACCGGAACAGTCATTTGCCGGTCTATAAATTCTATATTCAGCATCTAAAGATTTAGGATTACTGAGATGTAAACTTGCTTGGTTACAGCGTTAATAAGCAACTGAGCGGTCATTTCGGATGTTTTCTTGCTAATTGCATAGGTATATTCTTTAAGGAAACGATGGTTTTACATTAACAGGCATCATTAGCAGCGATTCAGGGGTTCGGTTTTGGTGCTTTCATTGCTTCAGTGTTATTCAGTCCTTTTTTCATTGTCTTGCAGTCCAACTGGGTCAGCAGACAAGTCGGATGTGGAGTCTCGTCGTTTGGTCAGGCCTTCGGATATGCTTCGCCGAGCTCAGACCGTCATGGAGGTACTCATAGACCTCGAAGATTTGGTACGCATTGATGTAGTCGCGGTCTTCAGCAGCGTTTTCGAGCAGCATACGCAAATAAGCAGCGATACGTCCAAGGTGTGTTTTCCATTTACCATTACTATCAGCTTGACCATTCTATTTGTTCGTGGTAAACGTGTGTACATTTTGAAACACTGGTAAGATGCTGATTTACTACTAGTTTCTGTTCCGCTCACTTAACTTGTTGTCTTTGGTGTCGTTTTAATGTAATTCGAAGGGTCCACGCCACTACTATTTAAAATGTATTCTTCGGATGCCTCCGTACATCATGAGATCGTTTTTGGTTTCCTAATGTTCTATGCTTTCGGTAACTACTATATGAACTCTATAGTTTTTTTCCCAGCGATAATAAAACTACACTTTTTATGATCTAAAGTCCAACCGTTCCTATTTACATTACTAACTTTTCACGTCGAGCGTTCCCCATTTTTTGGAAACAACAAATTACAATGTTTTTTTTTTGGATTGCTTCCTTTCGTTGTAGAATGTACCCACTCTTACTACACTCTACTCTGAGTGGTATGCGGACGAATTCATCCAACAGGCCTACTTGGGTCACTTTGTCTACTCGCCTCTGCTAATGACTTTCGTCACGATGCCCTCTCCAGATCCTCCTCGATTCCGAGCTGAGGAGTACTCGGATCTGAATGAACTTCGTGCTCTGGCTGAGCTAATCGGTGTGTCGGACACATTTTGGCTCCCACAACTACCTATTTCGTTTTTAGGGATGTGATCCTGTCAATTCCTTTATCGTTTTCGAAAATTCTCGCGCTCTGATCTAGCTTTCACTAGTAATTGTAATACAGTTTTGTCAGCGCTAATCACAGCTTATTTGGCGTGGCTCTTCTGTCTGAATCCAGAGGTCTTCTTCGCCTCATCAAATTAATCAGGCAGGCAACTTCTATCTCATTCCTCAGCATTCGAATGGTTCCTCATTGGCTCTTGGAAATAAGTTTTCACCTCAGAATTTCAGGCTCTGTTCATTTGCTTAGGTTGATTGTTGTTCCGTTTAGTTTCTTTTGAATTTGTTAATTTGATCGCGTTTCACTTATCAAATTTATCTAAAGCACTAACGGCATCTCCAGCTCATTCGCTATAGTTTTACCGCTTGCTTTGCATATCTAGATTAGCATTTTAGAGAAACACCTACATCCGTAATGATAGTAAGAATTGTCATAGCTATACTTATTTCTTGCATTTACTTATTTTTGTTTGATTTTTAGCTTAAATTGATTTGATATGATACGTTTAACAGTTTTGTGCTATCTTTGGTGCATTGTTGATCAGGTCCTTTTATTATATAAGCTAATGATTTCGATACGCATCAGACACGCGATTCCGTTTTGTTATTATTTTTCCAGTCAATTAGTAAGTATTCCTTTGACTGGTTGAAGTATGGAGGCTCTACCTGTGACGACAAATAAAACATGATCGCTGGGGTATTAAAGCCATCATTCTCAGGGCCATTGATTGTGATCACGATGTTGGTTAAGCTTGGAACTGCACATAATTGAAGATTTTTACTGCATGTTTACACTGCCTGCTTGTGTTTTGTTGCTTCTGTTAGTTGTGTACAACTTCCTTATCTATCGTTGTGGCGTTTGTCTGATTTTGGCTTGCGCAGTTCTAAAACCAACCTGTGAATTGCTGAATGGAACAGCAAATCTGGTTTTGAAATCTTCAGATGGATAAGTACTCCGACATGATGGTCATCTCTATTTCTATCTTACATTTTCTGTTGTGACCAGGTCCTGTGGGAATGAAATATCTGCATAGCCGAATCATGGAACAAATTGGTTCGCGAGTAGACGAAGTGAAGAAATTAGTTATATTAAATCGTCCTTTGCTTGAGGAACTGCGTGGGGCATTTGATGACCCGGTTAAGACGCGTAAACTTGCTGCGCAGTTGCAAAGGGTGGACATGCTGCTCTCATATCTAAGGGAGATTGGAATTGGATTGGCTTTTCTCTCTCTCTGTCGTGAAGCCCTAGGTGATGTGACTCAGGTGGGCTATGCGCTGAAATTGCTTATTAGTAATTAGTCTATTTTGCTCATTTTCGACCTCCGATTTTATGTCTGAAGGTCCGTGCTCCGTATGCTAGTTGTGATTTAGATTCTTAGTACTATTATTGTCCAATATTGTGACTGTTAGTTGCTTATCTCCCTAAAAGCTACTCATCGAGTTGTTTTTTTTTCGTTGAAGTTTGGCAAATAGGTCAATTGTCCTACTTTGATGCCCATCACTGTTATACCTTAGCTGCATGCCCCTTTCCTTGTGGAGACAGCAAAGAGCGTTCGCATGCATATGCGTCGTCAGGGCAAAGGGAAAATTATTCCACCGGCGATTTTTGAAACCGAGGCGGAAGAAGGGGGAGAATCGGGAACAAGTGTGGGCACGGGGAGCGGTGGTGGAGCTGAAAGTGTTGTGCGTCTGCTGGAGGCACAGCTGCTAACAAGCAGTCTCTGCGCAGCCATGGGTATCCCCTGTGATGGACTGGACGCGGGACTCTGTGAACATCTTCGACTTACCCAACGCTCCTCCTCGAGCTGGAACGGTGGCGCCGGCTCCACCGCTCCCACTGCAGAACCCCCCCTCAATCTTCAGTACCACATTGCTTGCCTTTTCATAGTCTTCGTAGCCAACGCTCTGCCCCAATTAGCCAGAGTAAGTGGATGCGCCTACCAGGTCAACTTAGCCGCAAACGAGGGCAACATGCACTGTATCGCCTATGCAGTCACCACTCTCATGGTACGATTTGGGAAGTATGCATGTGTTCTTTCATGTTTTCTTTGGCTATTGCCCTTTCATATCCAAAATTACTACATTGTCGTCTAGCTTCATTATTACCAAACACGCGTATTAATGTTTCCTAGATATGTATGTTCTCAGTTCTGAGCCCTGGAGACTTGGAGGAGCGTTCGACAGAATTTTTGGCTCTGGCATCCTCCAACCTACTTCGCCTTGGCCTTGAGACAAGCTCTTCCCTAGTCTCTGCTGCAGAAATCAGCGGCACTGGTGACAACATTGCTTCATCGCGTCACGCGAACAATCCCAATTGTGTGTCTAGCGAGAATCGAGACTCGGTATACCTTCTTTTTGATGAGATAGTACGCCTCTCCCCAGTTTTAACCGCTAATCTCCAGGAGGCTTGTTTCCCCTGTGCCCTCATCCGCAGCGCCTACAATCACCTGGCCAACGCAAATTCGCGCCTCCAGCATCAGCACACTAGCTCAAAGTCAAACTCTGGAGTAATGCATCACCATTATCGCCATAATTCTGAGGTTTCACAGTACCATCCCTGACACCTTCCATTTGTCAAATCCACACGCACGATTGATTACGGTGAATTATGGAAGAAATTTCAGTAAATTAGCACCATTTGCTGAGTAAGATTTTGATCCTCGACTGATGTGGCTCCATATCGTTTATTTTGGTGCACATGCTTTCATTTTGATGATGGGGTAATCTGACGTTTCTTGAGCCTGCCAACTCATCCTTGCTTGTGATGTGTGGATCCATTGTCTAGTGAGTTGCCTTGTTTTCTGTCGACCATATTGGTCGGGCGGGTTGAAATATCACTTTTATTATTCCATTTCTGGGAAGTAACTGCCTGTAGAAACAATTGAATAGATGGTGTTCTATGAGTAGCATCACTTAGAGAAGGTGTTTAGTATTGAAGTAAACTGTATGCTAGACTGACGGCACGAATAAATTCCTCTGATGTATTTGTAGTCCAGAAGCACAAGTACAACTCTAATCTTCTCCTCGAAGAGCGGACTGATCCTCTACACACCAATGGCGACAAACCAATCCGC